AGCAGCAAGAGCAGTCATAGGAGAGATAGGAATAATAGTCGTTATGATAATAAGAGCAATAGCCAGAATATCCATACTAATATCTGACGTAGTATCAGTAAGAATATCAGAAGGACGCAAGCCGTAGAGTAGTAGCTACCCACCTGACGCACTCCGAGGCCCCGACGGCAGGAGAACGACGAAGATGCCGAGGACCTGGGCAAGCAGAAAGAAAATTTGGGAAGCATATCTGAGGAGCAATACAGCAGTCCCACCTCACGTACGCAGAAGCTCGGGCGCGGCGACACGACGATAAGGAAGATGGCCAAGACCTGGGTAATAGCAGTAATAGTATTCGGCATAGTAGTGAGAGCAATATTAGGAGTAATAGCAGCAGTAGTCGTAAAGATAGCAAGAGCAATAGCCAGAGCACATATACTAAAACCCGGAATAGTAGCAGCAATAATACCAGAGGAAAAAGAAGCCGCAGAGCAGCAGCTGCCGAACCGACGCCCTCCGAGGCTCCGGCGGCAGGACCATGATGAAGATGCCGGAGACCTGGGCGACCAAAAGGAAAGAATCCCAAGCAGCAGCGTCGAAAGCAAGAGAGTCAAGAAGAGCAAATATCGCGCCTTTTTTTCCGCTGCAAAGCACATCCCCAACGAAGTATGCACGACCGGCTCCAGCCCCTCAGCCACGGATGCTGGTATCAGGCGCTCGCTCCCAAAAATCGAATTAAAAAAACGCGCCAAAAGATGCAAAAGTGCCCGAAGACAGTTCACGTATACTACAGATATACCGGCAAACCCATTTCACTTATCTACACATGTGCTCCTATAACTCGCCAACTAATACACGACCCAGCATCGATACTACACGTGAACAAAACAGGAAAATAGTTCAATGGGGTTAATTAGTGCGCCAGACCCGCAGAAGTCAGCGACCCCCCAGTTGCTCCGAAATCATCCCAGCTATCCTATAGACCCGTAACTCACGCCAAGGATCATCCCAAATAAAAACTATCATTTATCCCCTTCCAACCAAGAACCGTTATAGAGCAAAGAGACTAGGCCCGTGAAACGTGATGGTTTCGGAACTTGACGAATTTCCGAGATCCAGGAATCACGATAGGGAAGGTTAACCCGCAGCATCTGGGGACCGAAGTCCCGCCCGATTGACCTTCCCCTCCGCTTATTGGCTTGAGGAATTCGCCTTTTCCATTATCCTAAATACTTCCCTCCCTAATACGGTTTAGCTTGTACCTTTAACTGAAAAGGTGAATTCCTCAAACCGACCAGCCCCAAGGGCGTGACTTCCGAGACAAGGACAATAATACGCGATTAGAAGTATATCCACGACTACCAAATCAATATTTTCAAGTAAATAATGACCTAGACAGCTTAAAGAATATAATATAAAGAAAAAGAAAACGAAGTATCTAGCCCCCCGTCCCAGAAGTCCCTAATCCAAGAAAATCTAGTGAAAAAAAAGAATAGAAGAAAAAATTAAAAATCTATTCCTCCTCCTCCTCCTCTTCCTACGCCTCTCTCTCCTCCTCCGCGGCCCTTCATCCCTCCGCCCTTTCCTCCATCCTCCGGAAGCGTCTTTCCGCTTCCGCACGGGCCGCCCTAACCGCCTCCTCCCTCGGAAAATTGCAGCGGTCGCTGCGGGGAGTCTTCTGCTTGTTACAAGCGCTGCACATACGGCAGAGAAAAAAATAATTCGGAATCGTGTACGGGTGGGTGGGTGCCGGATGGAAGGGCGGGGTGCGGGGGGGACGAGGGGGTAGAAGTGGGATCGGATGGTGCCAGGGGGATCGTCCGAAGGCCATGGCAGCTCGGAAGGGAGCCGGTGATGGATACATGCCACGCGGAGGAGGCAAGTGATGGGTGGTGTCTTAGAAGCTTGAAGTGCCAGTTGAAGGGTGGTAGCGAAACCAGTTCTAGTGGCGGGGCGTGGGAGGGCGGAGTTGGGGGGTTATTATAGGTAGCCTTGGCTAGCAACTCTTTCCCAATCCTACCCAAGATTCGCGCCCTAAGAACAGTAAACGCAATGTAAATCATGAAGGCAACGAGCATGGCGAGTCCGTTTGGAGACCGGCTCCTCCACCTGAGAATCGCACACAACAAAGAAGATCATACTCACAGCAGAAAGCCTACCGAAAGGGTGAGAAAAAATAAATATTGGACGAGGCGCTTCCGCATCATCCTCCTCCTCTTCCTCCTCCGCCTCCTCACCATGGCAAAATTCAAGGCACACGACCCGGGAATAAAGCACACCAATACGAGCCCAAAAAAACATGCACGCGCCTCGGACGGCGAGTCCAATCCGCTGCCCGCCTGCTCAAACGAAGGCAACAACAACACCAACACTAGGCCACTATGTGAGATAAGGCGCTGCAGCGTGTGGGATGGTCAGGGGCGTGTCCTTAGAGCTCCAGATGTGGAAAGCACAGAGACCTAACCCGAAGCGCAACATTGCAAGCCAAGAGCATCGGTCACCCCAGAGGAGATCCATCCCACCGGCGCCTAAGTTCAATGCTTACTCACCCCTGGCCAGCAGGCAAACCCTAATTCTTAATGACAAGATGCTCCGTAGAGAGTGCCGCTGGAGGAGCACGGCATGTTATCCATGTCCTTGGAAAGAAACACCAGGAGAATAGAACGCGCCAAGAAGCAAAGCTAGATGCAGACCAGTGACCGTGTCCGGATATGGCGCCGGCGCCCGAGCGTCCTCCCCCTAAGAAGGCAACGCGACAACTTAAGGAAAGAAACACAGATGAACACAAAACAAGCACATGCAGCTTTGCAGGCAAGGAGCATCCGAGAAGAAGTCCGCCATTCCGGCAAGGAACTCGGAGAAAGCAAGAGATCTCCAAAGAAAGAAACCCTCAACCCGAACCCGCAAGCCCCAACACCAACCAAACTTCCGGAATCCTCAACAAACCATCCTAATGCAGCCATGGGGGCATCGGGATTTCTCTCAAATCAGCCCTGACAAACGAAATTCGTAGCCGCAGAAAAATGCGACAACCAGCTGCAAAAAAACATGTAGAGATCGCGATCTATTGCCTCAGAAAGCTGCGGGTTTTACCCCAAGCCCGTTGAAGACAAGGGCAACTTGGGCAGAATCTAAGCAAACCTCTAACCTAAGACGCCCCTTTAACAGGAAAATGTATTTTCAATCTGCGGTAAGGACAAGTGAGCGTAGTTGACAGCAATGAAGGGGGTATTGTTGCTTCGGTTGAGAGATCCAATCTGAAAGATTTTCATGGCAAGATATCAACCGCGCAGCTGAAATGCTATAACCATTTTTCAAGTGTAGTGCATTAGTGCGAGAATTATGAAATTCCTTGGCTTGAATTTCTATATCCTCATCCTTCCTACCGGAGATAAATTTTGAGAGCGCTTTGCAGCTTGAGGCTGCAAATCCCTGTGCCAGGACAGCGAGTCTCTAACCTGAAGCGGGCCGTTGTCAGGAAAATGCGTCTACAACCTGCAGTAAGGGCAGGTGAGCGTAGCTGATAGCAATATTCTTTTTCATATCATATCTAGTATCTATATATCTCGAGGAAATTATGAAATAGAAAATCAATAATTTACATATAGGATGAAAATGGAATTAGCGATTCGAATTATCATTCATATAATATGTATCCTATCTCTCCTTTTTCAATTTGTAATGGACCCGGCAGATTATTGGTAGCCACGCGTTGGGAAGCTAAGGAATTCCACTAAATACTATTTGCCGGATATCTATCGGAACGTTGACAATTGTCCAGAAGGGCCCATGCCTCAAGAGATCATACAAGTAAATCTAGAGATAACCACCCCATGTGGTACATGGGCCCCAATCGGTGGCGCCAGCACTGCAAGGCACAAGCGAGCAAGGAAGAAGCGTGCAACCGACTGGAGAACAGTGCCCATTTCGGACACAGCCGCTCCCCCGTGACATCAGCCTGCCCAAGCGGAGGCGAAGTGCCACGGGTGGCCATCCGAGAATCTCTCACGAACCATCCCTAGTACTGCAGTGTCTTGACCGGCTGATGAAAGCTGGAAGTACATAGAGTTATTCCTAATAAAAGGTGCATGATAGGGCCCCTCAAATGAACATCTAATACTGGAGACTCAAACTGAACAAATTTGAATCTGTGACTGATGCCCTACTCTGAACCCTAAACCCTAAGCCCCTGCCATGTTGAGAAACTCGCGTCTGCGCACTGCACTCTAACCCCTGGTAGCAGGCCGGCAACACTCGGCGTCATGCAGTGAAAAACCGTGCAGAATCACTGGAAAAGACAACCCTTAGCCTAAACCCTACTCTCACCCAGTAAGCCCCTTCTCCTTAACACAGATGCTGTTATGTAGTGGGAAAATCTATTGTGGGGAGGTGACAATTAGGGATGGGATTGCTTCAGTTTAAATCCGATTCCAGTGAAAGGGGCGTGCCTCAGGGCAGGTCTGCTATGGCGCAAAGCAGCCAAATTAGCTAAGCCCTTGCAGGGTAAGAAATTTCGCTTGATATTTTAAAGCACTCAGACAGCACCCCATAGCCTGCTACATTGTAGTAGACTGCAGTATATGGCACATTATGGAAGACGGGAATAACCCTGAACCGTGAACCCTATACTCTGCTACACTAGAGAATGCAGTACTTACCACGAAAGGGCCAATTGTTCTGGACCTGTCCGCTTGGCGGATCACAGTCCAACCGCTCGCACCATGTCCGCATTCTCTGCAAACACACACATCCCACGAGTTCTTAGAAGGGAATTGAGCAATGCAAATAATCTTCCTTCCTCTGTGGAGGATGGTTAGGTACTACAATAGCATTTAGGCTCCTGAGTTTGCTTTTGTAGAAGAGGATGCCCTTCCCTGCTAATAGCCTGGGCGAATTCTGGAAAACCAAACGTGCAGTGACCAGAAACGAAAAACAAAAGCACAAGTCTGGGGCAGGGTCTACCCTGCAAGCAACCTCTCGGAGCCCCAAAACCCTGAGCCCTGAACTCATGAAACGGCTCTTCATTCCACGTTGACGGTAGGGATGGCATTCGTCACCCTGGCCTGTGTCTGCTGCGCGATGCACAACTCCTCATCTGTAGGAATCACCCAGATCTGCGTGGAGTGGCGCTTGGTATCGAGCCTTAGATGGATTTTAATGCGTTCTAACAACTGTTGTTCAGAAGCTTTACGCGTTCGTTTTGTCAAGGGCATGCAAATAGGCATAACTTCCAACCAGCAGCCGGATGTTTTCGTTGAAGTCCCCATCCTTGATATGATTGGCCTCCTCGTCCAACTCTAAGCCGAGGCTCCCCAAACCCTGGCACACCAAAGTCCTAAACCTCGGTTGTCCCATAGGGCTTCGGAAAGAGATAATTAGGGGCTACACCGGAAAAAAAAGGCCTTATAGGGATCTGTAAGGATGTTGGGATTATCGGGAGTATATGACAATAATTGGGAATCAAATGAAATTTAGGTGGAAACTGGGGCTATACAGGGCTACACAGGCATATGTAGGGTGTAGTCACAGCGTTTTTGTAGACCACGTCTGCAAAATGAAGACCCTATTACGGTCATACGGACTAAAATCAACATTACCGACGCAATTAATGGACATGGGTTCCCATTAGGGAATATACTAGGCACTCTACTAATCTACCAAAGCGACCTCTATGTCCAGCATCAATGGTCCCTTTAACTATTAAAGTTTGCCCTTGGCTCATATGAGCTATAGTCTAAAGTCCTAATATCCCATTTAACAATCCCGACAATAGTCCCCTAAAAATCCCGTACATAACCCACTTTGAATAGACCATAGCTCACATGATAGATATGGTAGTTTCCCTAGATAAAGGCACCGCAATATAGACCCCCAAAAACCCTTATTCTAGGGACCCCCAACATGGTACCCCTAATTTACGGAATCTCCCATATAGTGCGAAGGACTCCTGGCCAAGGAAGTTTCTGTTTCAGGGTCAGTTTATGTAATGCTTACCTTGAGGACTACCAGGGAGATGTGCAAGATTCCTACTAAAATGATAGTAGTGACTTAGTAGCGGGTGGGGGAACCCTCGAACTTAGGATTTACCTGAAACCCTCCCACTTCTCTTTTCGGTCTACCTTCCTGGCATACCAAGGAACAAATGCGAATGCTCCCCAATACCACCGGTAAAGACCAAGGCATCCACCCGTCCATCCAAGGCTACCTTGGATGCATGTTACGGAACAACTGCAGTACCAGGCTTGGAATATCACCAAGTGATATTTTTGGCCTCCCCCACCTGGTCTCAAATCGAAAGTGGCGAGAGAAATTAAAGGGACAGGCAGAGTCGCCGTCATTGAAGCAATCTATGGTGGTGGTGCTTGTCGTTGTATGAGAAGTAAACAACAACAGTTTGTATTTCTACTACAAATAAAGACCCCGACGACCCCGACATCTATATTGGAACAACGCTCCAAGAAGAATTCAAGCTACCATGAAGGCTCCCAAATATTTTCTGGTCCGGTAGATCTGCACTTCCTTTGCCAGCTTACCCAGGGGCGTTCCCTTGCAGTACTCATGCTCCACATCCCGGTTGTCTGAACATCCACAAAGACCCAGGAGGCCGCTCTTCTTATTCAGCATGTCATTGACCTCTTTCCTTGGTTCTTGTTGAAATACGATTACCCAATGATCATATTCAATCTATATTGGGCCCAGGTACACATAAAAAAGTAAAATATTGTTCAACAAGAACCCAGTTTCATGCTGTAGCCCAGGTGCTCCGTGAGATACATGGGAATGGCTGGGTCCATTTCCCCACATCGGGTGCCCATTACCAAGCCATCCAAGGGAGTCATTCCCATAGTTGTATCCACGCATCGTCCGTTCTTGATGGCACACATGGAGGCACCATTGCCCATGTGACAGGCGATGATGTTCAATTCCTCAATGGGCTTCCCTAGTACTCGAGATGCCTCTTCCGAGACGTAGACGTAGGAGGTACCGTGGAATCCATACTTGCGGATATGATGCTTCTTGTACAAGTCATACGGGAGAGCGTACATGTAGGCATGGGGAGGCATACTCTGATGGAAAGCAGTGTCAAACACTGCCACTTGCGGACACTCTTCTCCAAAGAGCTCTTTAGATACCTCGATTCCGAGGATGTTCCATGGATTGTGCAGGGGGGCCAACATGGAGGCCTCTCGCACCGCTTTCAGCACATCCTTGTTGATGAGTGTCGCACTAGTAAAGCTCTCGCCTCCATGAACCACCCGATGGCCGACTGATCGTATGTCATCCTTGCTTGGCAACAAATCCAAGACGCGACGTAGTGCGGCCCTGTGGTCTGGCAAGGGGATGTTGTGAACTTTCCTGGGTTGCTGTGCAGGAAGTGAAGTTATGTTACAATTGTAAGGGAACTCGATGATTTACTGCAGGTCCATATTATGGTAGCTTAATTTATGTTCCTTGTAATGTCAACCCAGCTTCTTTCCTTCAGATGTCACCTCTTTGATCCGGCATTCCGTCCTTGTGCCTATGCCCTCAGCGAGGCCGTGAACGAGCCGAGTCCAGCCTGAGGACGCCGCGCGGAAGAGCGCATATTTCCAGGAGCTGCTGCCGGCGTTGAGAACCTTCAGTGTCCATATAGAGCTTCTGCAGGGTTTTGTTTGCTTGTCATGGGGTCTCAGTCATACTACAATATACTACAATATGCCGTACTTTTCTAAATTGTACGAAATTCATACTATAATATACTAGTTTAACCAGTGGACAGGCAAGGCACTAAAATCAACTCGCTGGAAGCCGCCATGCGGGCCCGTCGTCTCCAGCCGTGTCTCCCTATACACTATACACGATACACTCTTGAGCACTTGATGCAGCAAAAACAGCACGGTTCAGCGCTTGCAGGCCATCCTCCGAGGCTTGTGACAAAGGCAGGCAATATTATTGCTGGGTGTAGGGTGCTACATAGGCATTTTCTAGGGACAATGGAAAAGAAAATGGAAGCTTCTTTTTAGGGTTTAGGGTTTAGGTTGGGTCCTGCCCGTATCGGACAACAGTCTATAGTAGGGGTCATATTAAGGGCTCTACATAATTGTCTTATGCAAAATATCCAACTGTTCATGAGTGGGAAATATGACGGATACTGATGGACAATGATAAAGCATGATTGTGATTGGAATCATAAAGCATCATGCAAACAAGAAGCATCATGACAACCCATACGTAAACGATAAAATGTGTTGCAAGATGATTACAAAATGGATGGACGTTTCTTGAATAATGCTGAAAATTTTTGAAACATGATGCAGCATTGAGAAAAATCATGAAAACCATTCAGCTTGGGGCTTGGGGGGGGGGCATGCAATATGAAGAAGGCGATGGAAAGTGAGGAACATGAAAACAAAAAGGCAATGAAAAATGGTGGACAATGCTCAAGAGTGATAAAAGTTATTGAAACATGAAAATCATAAAGATTAAGTATGCCGAAATATAGAGGAGAATTATCTAACATGATGAAACTTGATGGAAATCCTGATAAAGCAAGAAAATGATGGAGAATCATGAAAATATGTTGAAAAAAGGTATCATCCGTTTGTAGTCCCTATAAGGAGGATTGTAACGCTTAATGGTATATATGGGAATCCCATCTCATGACATACCCAAAACACGCTTGCTGTAAAACCTGCACCCTAAACCCGGCTCAGTCTAATCAGCTCAGTAATAATAGCAATTATAATAGGATCAATAGTACCAACAACTCTAATCAGCTCAGTAATAACAGTAAATATAATAGTAATAATAGTACCAACATTCACACCTCATTTTCAAACGTCGCGGGGCGAAAGGATGGTCGGGCCCTGACTGTACGATCGGCTCTGCTTGACACAAGTTGAGGACATCAGTCCCCTTCTCTCAATGAGTTATAGGGGTACCTTCCAAGGGTTATAGGGGTTCTATAGGGGGATACAGGGTGTAGAATTTAGGGATAGGGTTTAGGGTTTCCCAAAATTTGGGGTACCGTTTTGGGGGGTCCCAATAATAAGGTTTTAGTATTTTCGGGTCTATATTGGGGTCCCTTTTTTGGGGGGAAACTACCATATGAGCTGCTGTGTAGTCTAAACTCCTAGTATCCCCCTGAATAACTCGAACCTTGACATTCACACTGCCAAAGACTCACGACATGCGCCTAAAGACCCGAGTACACTCTAACTGCGTCCCATCACTTCGGATGCGCACCACCCGTCTGGAGAAAGAGTTGCCGTCAGGATCGACCACCAACCTGAGATTGCTTAGAATCTAGGCTTTAGGGTTAAATTCAAGGTTTCGTCTGAGGTTGGTATGGGGTTAAGACTTCCGGACTAAGGATTCAGGTGTAGGGCTCAAGGTTTAGGGCGTTGAGGGCCAAGTTTTTCTGTGGCTGTTACTAATCTGCTCTTATCCTTCTTGCCTTGGCTGCGTTGGCCATCACTTCTGTGCAATTGTCTGAAGTCCTTGAGAGCCACGCTGGTCATAGTGCTGCACATGATGGAATTCAGAGCGGCCATTGCGGCCAAGCGGGAGGAAACCACGTCTGCTACGATTCAGGCTTGGGACCTTCGGGAGATGGCATGGTAGAACGGAAAAATGACACTTTTTGAAAGGGGTCACCTCGAGTAGAAAAAGTTGGGGCCCTGGCGTGTCGCAGAGGCTGCCTTCACCAGGCGGGAACTCGGTCACCATTTCCTGCAAATGAGGCTCTAAAGCTTACTCCGAAAATGGGTTATAGAGACTCCTACAGGCCATAATTTCGTGGGACTTTTACAGTGACCCGGTTCCCCCATACCTAGCTAAGGATGACTAAGACCCTGCCGCGCCGGAAACTGCAGCCAACGAAGATGCCACAAGTAACTTGAGGAGTGTCCAGCCCATTCTCCTTCCGTTTCCCGAAAGAAGGCCTACATAACCCGAAGCCCTAAACCCTAAACCCTTCCTAGACCCTAAACCCACCTAGATGGCCCTCAGCAGCCGTGTAAAGGAACCCCAAATCTGGCCGTCCTGATTCTTTACCCTCTACAGCCCAATGTAACATCAATATCGCCCCTAGATGCCCCTGCTTAAGGCGCATAACCCCTCGAGAAGGAAGCCCCGAGTGTGAAGAGTCCAGCTCATTCTCCGTGGACTTCGTCAGCCGCAGGCGCCTGGATTTCAAGCCATCCCAGTAAGACTGCCAACCCCTCCCCCTATGGAATAAGAAACCCCCATAATTAGCATATTGGGGGCATTAAGTATTTGGGGGCCGGGAAATTATTATTAGAGAGCAGGATATTCTTAAAAAATACCGCAGCTACAAAGAGGAGGTTACCTTAGTCTATCTTGGAGACTACCCCTGCTTACACGGTGCTCATGCGTAATCAATACAGTGCCGTCCACTATGTTTATTTTTCGAAGGCATAGTACATCCAAGGACAAGTAGATTGGACCAGAGCACAAGGCTCAGAAAAGACCGTCTGGGGGGCTACAAAATTGGCAGTTCATGTTATTTGGGGAGTCGTGTAACAAGGACTAGACTAGAATATGTTAAGACATACAGAAGACACCGCCCTAAACACTAAACCCTGAGCCCGTTTTGCAATTCCGAGATACATCTCGCCGCGCATGCGCCCCGCAGGAGGCACTGGCTTAGGGACCCAGGCGCCATCTACAGGCAGGACATCCTCCACCTTGCACAGAGGGTTTGGGGTCTAGAGTTTGGGAATTGCACCAGATTTGTATAACCATTACCAGGTCACCGTCACGAGGTTCTTCACCACGAAGTTGACGTGGGTCGCGGACTTGCTAATGATCAGCACCGACCTTAAAGAACTCGGGGAAAACACACAGGTATAACAGCATTACCGTGAAGGCAGCCTCCGTCTCATCTGGAGTCTAAAAGAAACAGTTTCTTTAGGGAACGGGTGCTTCTTCTGCAGCTAGCCCAAAAAATCCAAGGCACGTTTTGGCGTCTGCTGCCTTTCGAATCAAATAATTCACTCCCATGTCCTGTTCAGTGTGACTGTGCAGACACCTACACGTGGCAAATTGAGCCTTATCACAGACATGATAAAAAATAAAAATTTTGAACGTGTACCGTTGTGGAATGATAATCACAACCATAGTGAACATGATGAGAGTAGTGATGAAATGTAGTGTGGCTGACGAAGGATTTCGAGAACCGCCCCAAGTACTCGGCAAGGGCGACTTAGCACGGAATGGACAAGGAAGTGGAAACTATTGCATTGGAGGTCTAAGGCTTTGAGGATTAGGGGTTCTGATAACTCAGGTCAGGCAAGATCACTTTGATCAGGAACCCCTTCCCCTCGTATTCAATCACCGCCGGCCACCGGCAAATGTCAAACTTGGACTACAACTTAGAGCCAAAGGGGCTATTTGATCTTGGGGGCTAGGAAGTTGATTGAAATGAGGAAGACATTGAATTCTCTTGCCCTGAAGCCTAACCTGACCTTAAAGCTCTGATCCCTAGTAAGCCCTCAACCCCAGAACACCGAAATCGTAACGTGCAATCCCTCAACACCAAAGTCTGCTAGCTCCAAAAACCCCACCCCGTAGCCATCAAACCCCTACACCCTGAACCCAAATCCCCAAAGCTCTAAATTTGTTCCTAAATCCAAACCCCCAGAAAACAGCCAAGCCCTAAATCACTCAGTTTATGCTTAACCCTACACCCTAAACTCCAAAGCCCCTAAACCC